CGGTTTTATGCAATGTCTATACCTACGGGTAATTCATTTATGTTACAGAAGAATTCCTTAAAAATAATGAAATCAAAAACACATTTTTTTCATGCAATTTCCAAAATATCATAAATTCAGTGTTATATGTAACTGCAAGCATTTATGTAAATTACTGCTTCCTTTTCTACTACAAATTAGGAAGTTTAATAAATTTGAGTGAAATTTTTTCTCTTAAAAAATAATATTGATTTTATTTATTTAATTATGGCAAGAGATGCTAGCAGTCTCTGTTCTAGTGGGTCTGTATTAGCTAGATACCTCTTCTGTCGAACTTTGCCTCAATCCGATAAAATGAATTTAACTAATATAAAAATATACGCTTTATTTTGAATTAACTCATATGTTATTTTAATTGTACATTATTATGAACATATGTTATGAAAGCAGGTATTTGGTAATCTAAATATTATTTCAATTATTTGAATTAATTAATTGCTGTCCGTAGAAGTCAAAAATCGCAAATTTATCTGCAGAACTCAAATTTATGGTCCTAAATATGTTTATATTTTTTTAATCATTTGCAACTTCAGAGCCTTAAAAGGCTTATGCATTTTTATGCCGTCATGAAGTTTACGCAATATTTGACAACTTCACGACTACTTCGCGGTTCTTTCCTTTACAACCAGATCTCACATGATGTTAAAGGGTTCAAATGCAAACATTTACAGAAAAGTAGATAGAAGAAAATTGTCCAATAGTTATTTTTAAGGAGTTATATGGAAAGAAAATGTGAGAAAAAATATTAAGGAAAAATAGCGTAACGCATCTCAACTGTGAGACATTTATTGAGATATTGGCTTTTTATGAATTTAGATACAACTCTACGTATATTCACTGTAAAGCTAAAGCTATGCGATGTCTTGGACGTAGAGCGCTGTTTATTAAAATATATTATAAATTCATAGTTGTAATTTATTCCAAAAAATATATGAAAAACAATAATAGGTTCAGAAAATTATTTTTAAAATGAAAATAGAACTATTTTGATATTTAATCATTAAATTAGGAAAAAAAACAAATCACATATCAGACGTTATCATAAACAATTTTTCAACTTTTCTTGAAAAAACTTATCCTTTTTTTACCCTTTTTTCTTTTCTCTTTTAATTTTTGGGTTTGAGATATCCATGTAAAATAGCTATTTGGATACTGAATATTTTAATTAAAAGGAAAATTTAACTTTTTTCATTCATGATGTTTCGCTATATATTAAAGATTAAAAAAAAAGAATTCATAATAAAAACATTATAGCGGAGAGTGATTTTCTGGGAAGAGGAATAAAGATTAAAGTGCACAGATGATAAAATGAATCGGAGAAAAACCTTTATTCAAAACGAAAATTTATCCCCGTTATTTGGGTCTTTGAGATTAAAGAGAGTGTATTCATGGTTCCGAATAAATTAATAACTCGGTATGACATACACACGCATAAACAAGAAGAAATAAAAGGGAAAAAATGGAAAAGGAAATTTCTTTACGCATTTTTTTCATTCCCATTTCATTTTAATCTTCATTGAAATTATGATAGGGAGTAGTCGAACTTGATCTTGATAAGAATGCTTTTCAAGTGAACCACCGGGGAAGGGGCGGGGGAAGAATTTCTCGCGCTCCCTCCGTTCCTTATTTTTCTTAATTGCGGTTTTGTTTCTTAAGTTGCAAAAAGCATATTAATTAATATATTTCTATGGCACCGCCATTATTTCGTTAATTATACCTTGAGAAAAAAATGAAATACAGCGAATAAAAATATTCTAAAAAGTATTTTTTGAATTTTAAAGAAGTTTTATTACGCTCTGTGGCCCATTATTTATAGTTTCCAACCATGTCATATTTAATTTTAAAGCTCGATTATCTCACTGAATTGAACTGCTGAAGGAATATTTCTAATATAACATTCGGGAAAAAATGAATATGTTTTGTAGCTATGCAGCACTGCATGAAGATTTTGATAAAGAATTTGTATTGCTTTAATATCCTTCTTGATTTTTTCTAGTTTTCTTGTTAATTCTTCCATTAAAAAACAATGTAAATATTTTCTAAATAATGTTAGTTATAAAATATACTGAATTAGAAAAAAAATTGAAAATTTTTCTTCCTTAACTTAAGTAAAGACAGTTATATTCCTGTAAAGAATTCAAATTAGAAAGTAAATTGGGTAATTTTTAAAAATTTTATGCATCATATTTTGAAAATTTTTTAAAAGTCATTGACCTTTTCTTTGTGTTCGTTGCAATTAACATACTTAAAAGTACTTTTTTGTTCTTTCTTCTAATACAACGGTCGGTACTGCCATATACGGCTTGCGTAGGGTAGCTTGCGCTGATGATAACATTCATGTAAATCCTGTCATGTAAATTTTCATTAATAGATTTGAAAATCTAGCTGGCGTTTAATGGCCAGCAATCTATTTTTAATTGGAAAGCTAAGTTAGTTTTAGGCTTGTCTCAAGTTCAAGATATATTTTTAAGATAAATTATTTCTAATTTGAGATTTAAAACAAAAGATGCGCAGCTTTTTATCTGTTGTCAGATTAACGTCACATAATCCGTGGTTAACCCGCGGTCGTCGTTCCCATAATTTTATTTATTAATTGGGAAGCTACTCTATAGCACAATATTATGAAAAAGGTAAATTCATAAAATACAATATTTAAAAATGGTGAAGGTTATGCTTAAACAATGCAGCATTTATATTGAGCTATTATATATGCCAGCATGTGACAATCATATGTCAATTAATGAAATATCATTACATTAATTGTCAATAATGAAACTGCGGTATTGTGAAGATCACCAGATCGTGACACAGAAATGACAAACGAGAAAATGTGGTATGAAAACGAAGCCGACAGATTTAATTCAAAATAGCTTTAAATCGTCGAGTTCCTATAAAATGAAATACTTTGCTTCCTCGGGTGTGTTTCCCCACTTAGCGTTTTAGAGTTAGGTTCTGATTTTTTTTTTTTTTTTTTTTTAAATATTCGCGTAATTTTCATCTTCCTCTACCTCACATAGTTTTTTTTCCTCTGAAGATTAGTTTATTGCTAAATTTTATTCCCTTGATTATTTTTATTTTTATTCATTGTATTCATCTTGTATTTACATTTTTGTATTAGCATTCCATTCATTTTATTTTCCCTTGCATTTATTGTTGAAACACATTTTGCACAGATTCATCTAGCTACTCCACGTGGCCGGTGTTCTTACACTTAAGAAACTCTCCCAACATGTAATTTCATCTTACTTCTCTTACCTACATTCTAGCTCATTGTAGCCCTGTCTACGCCTGATATGTTCGATCTTTCAAAATACGATTCTTTTTTCGTTTCCTTCTCCTTCGTTCTTCCGATGTCCCTCTTGGGAAATGTGGTCAAGATTCATTCAAGGAAAAAGGTGAAGTGCGCGGAACGCACAGTGTCCAGCTCAGTTACTTCAGATAGCAGCTCGATAGCCATCAGAAATTGTAATGTTATTATTAATATATATTCTTATTGGAATGTTTCTCTTAAAGAAATATTACTGTTGTAGTTATCAGTAGTTTTACCCATGAATGCTTTCCATTGGTTATGTTCCCACTGCAACTACGTTTTTCGGAAATTAAATTATTCACATAATTTTACCTTCTCGAGTTTTGAACGATAAATTTAGTTTAAAAAACGGAAAAATCCGTGAGAAAAAACATTATAATCTGGGTGTTCCTATAAAGCGAAACATTCTCTTTTTTATATTAAATAATTGTAAGGCATTTCATGCATTTTAAGCGAATTATTATACATCAGTTATAAATTATAAATCTACAATTTTTCATTCATATTCACTGATAAAGTAAAATATAATTAGATTACATCCTATTTTTATGCATCAATTAGTTGCAGAGTCATTAGTCTTTTTTTTTATGCAAGAGACATGAAAAACGTGCAATGGCTCGAACCTGGACCTCTCGAATGTGCGCCCATTTGATACCGTTACACCACGAAAGCATGCTGAAAAAAGGGAGAAAATACCTTATTAAACTTCCCCTTTTACAGGGCCACTACGGATCAGAGGACCTACTCGCTAAATCCTGGTGTGATGAATTATTGTTTACCAATTTTTTAAGTTCGGGCGCCACTTATAGAGTCATTAGGATTTTTTGTAATGAAGAAGACGTGAAAAATGTGCATTGCCCTGTCCATGACTTGAACCTGGACCTCTCGAATACGTGCCGAATGTGCTACTGTTACACCACGAAGGCATGTTGGAAGGAGGGCGAAAATATCTTATATAAATGAACTATAAAAGTGTTTATTAATGCGTCTGCAAGTAGACAAATGAAATAATGTGCTACCGCTATTTTCAACATACCATTATTTTTGGAGGGGGTTTCAGTCCGGGATTTGATAATTTGAAAGTTAAATATTTAATTCCGTAGATGATTTATAATTCGCTTTCTTCGAATATTTCTATCTAGGATCTTGGAGATATTTTATCTTCTGGAGATTTCTATGCAACATTCTAGGTTAAATCTAATGACTTGCAACAACATTTAAAAACCTGTCGATCTGAAATGTATAGCATCTGTAGGTTTTTTTATCGCATAAGATGATGTCGATGCAATTAAAGGTAGATTGCAAGTCATCTTACAGAAGAGGGAATAAACTTACGCATCGATATACGTAGTAGAATTATGTAAATATTTTTTATTATTAATTTTATAATATTTTCTTCTTCAAATTCTCATTCTGTTAAGAATATAATATGTAACATAAAAATTATGTAAATCAAAATATAACTATCAGCTATCATTTTATCGGCAGTAGGGTATTAAGGTTAAGTGCCTGGAGGACTAAAATGTTGCAAGGATTTAATGGTTAACATAACTTGCAAACTCTTAGGGTTCAAGACGCAAATATATTTACTGCTTCAGTTTATGATTGAAATGAATTATTCTAAAACATAGTCATATTTTATATCATATAGGTTCAGCTCTAATTGAAACTACGATTCATCAAGACGGTGTTATTGAAGTGGAAACTCCCTGGAATCAAGGTCTTGTTTGGGAATCAGTTCCTCATCCAGTCCTTATGGGTACTTTACCCGTTCAAGCTGGCATGTTTCCAGTACCCCTGAGACTCACATCTTTTGACGGAGAAGAGAAAAGCACGGTATCTTCCTGGAACTATGACATCAAGTTCAACAGAAAGGATAAAGAAAAGACTATAGCGGCTCTGGAAAGGATCTTAGTGGTAAATTTTTACATTTATTTCATCATTTAATTTAACAAATGGGATTGTTAAATAATTATTTCTATACGCATCTGATTGAAATGCTTTGTGTGATAATCAATCGAAATTGTTTAAAGTTCAGTATTAGACAGCCCATTTTCAATGGCATCAGTCATTTAACATTTAAATATTAGGTAAGAATAGCATGCCATATATAGTAAACTGAAACAAAGAAGAATGGATATTAAAAACGAGAATTGGTACAATATTGGCAAATACTAATAAGAGGCATTAAAAGTTTTGGTGGTACATAGTTGTCCTTTACTAATAAATTATTTACAATTGTATTTGTTTAGAAACATATTTCACCAAGATGGTGCTTTTGAGGTAAAAACTATAATCATAGTCTTCGTTTACAAAAACCCATGGTTAAAGAAAGTCATTAAATCCGAAATGCATCCTACTAGTATTTGCATACATTATGCTCATTACTAATGTTCATGCATTCTCCATTTCCGTATATGTTCACCATAATTTATTAATATTACTTTAATATTTAAAAATATATGGTGCATTAAATTATTTATTCGAGCTTTAAAGATACTTGCAAATGAACCAAAAAAACATGTTTATAATCATAAACACTCTAACATTTTTTGTATAAGATTTATGCCAATACCTTTTGGATTTTCTTAGCAATATTAGTAATACAAGTGTAACCTATGATTTTTTTACAGTTTATTACAACATACTTTAATATTCTAATGAATCCGATCTCTCCTGATATAATGATTATTTAACGCTTTCGAATTTTTTCTGTCGTAATTTGGAGCATTCATTGATGATTTTCATAACGTAAATTATCATAAAAATATTAATCAAAATTCGGGTGAAATAATTCCTATCCATATTAAGAATGTGTTTCATTTACATTAGACGAAAAGGGAAATTTCTTGAATTTAGATTATCACAAATACATTCACATAAACTGATGCCCTTTTTCAATGCATGTCCATTGCAATGATTACAACGGAATTGATGGTTCAGTGTTCCATTCCTGGCATTTTTACTACATATCCACACACATTCTCATGATCCATTGCTACTATTGCGAAGACAGCATCAAAAGAGACCTAGAGCAAATATGAAAGAACTTATTCTTTTGCAAAAGATTATTCTTTTGCTTGTGAAACTAATGGAAAAACACTCCCAAGTAAACCATCATTTCCAAGTAAACAATGAACCACGTTCCTTCTACTGCACGCATTTCTTGCCACTTTCTGCTTCTAACCATTTTAAATCAAGTCAGGCATTTTAACTATGCTTCCAAGTTCACAGAATGTGATGCTATGACATTCTTGATTTAAGTATGAAAATTTATTACCTAGTTGCCTTCAGATAATATCCGCCAGATATCATACACGTGCTTCACTAGTTATGACACTAATAGAAGCTTTGATGAAATTCATCTTTTGGTATGGTACATAGACTGGCTGTCGCATCATTTTAGATAGCATCAACTGTCTGAAAATTTTGATCCCGTAGAACCTTCTTCATGAGAAAAAGCCACATGTTCAAATGTAACAAATTAACTGGTTGTAATATGACAGGGTTGTATTTCTAATCAAAGATACTCATCTTTCTTTGTTCATGCTCCCTTTTCTTAAAGTAAAGATGCTTTAACTCCTTTTGTACAACAATGCGAATCATGCTATCTCGAATAATGCTATTCCATACTTTCTGCTATAGAAAATTTGCTAACATCCTCCGGCTCGCAAGTTCAATAATTACAAGTTTTAGTAATTTCACGTAATTCTTCCGCCAAAAGTTTTGAAATATGACTATTAACCGTGCCATTTCGGTGCTTGTTTGTTATAAGGAAACACGAATTTGAATACTTTTGATATGTGTAGTTAAAATTGCATTGAACTTCCTTCCACAAACGAGTGAACATCATTATCACTCCAGCTGCAAGCCATGAATTTCAGTAGAGTTTTTAAGGATGAGTTGAAAAGTGAGATACGGTGGAGGGTGAACATTAAACTCTGGATGTTCGAAACCCGTAAAAGGCAATGAGAATACTCAAACTAAATCCACTCGAAATTCATGAAATGTATTCGGGGAGAAATTCATTTCAACAATAACAATGGAAGCGGAAAGAAAAGTAATTCTCGAAATGCAGATCTTGAAAAAGAAGTAAAATGTTGGGAAAAAAAGTAAGGGGGTTGAAATTGAAAGGGATAAAGTTTTCCCTCTCTCTCTCTTTCACTCCCAAAGTTTGAACTGCTAAACTGAGCGTGAAACAATAAGTGCCGATGGAAGTGTTTCCGAGCGTAGTCAAACGTAACAGAAGCAATTTTTATTTTTTCTTCGTTGCGTCAGCAATGGTGATTTCTACACGAAAAATGTTGAAGTTGGAGAACCACCGAAGCAATATTTTTTATATTTTTGTATGTTTGCTTTTATTTATATTCCTTTTCTGGAAAAAAATGTAGCTTTGAATATAGGACGAAGAGAAATGATTGATTGATATGCTTATTGTGCGATATGCAACAGAATTTGACTGAGTATAATGTCAAGTATCAGGTATCATTGCCTGAAGAAAAGTCATGATTCAGCAGCAAATTGTACTACCAAAACGAAATTTTGATAGCATATCAAACGAATATTAATAAATATTTAGTGACTTTTTATTGATATGAAATAACCTACATTTAAAATACTTAAAGAATATTTGAGTTTGTTTGCTGCGGGATTAATGCTTTGACTGATTTTGTAGCTGCTTTAGTGTATATCATTCAAATTTTTGTTCTCATGAGCGAAAATTACGAAGTTGAAGAAATGCAGTTAGGAATTTATTTCAACAACAGAAGTATATATTTTGAAAACTGTTGTTTCATACCTGTCACTTCTAAAGTTCAATTTAAAATATATTAATCTTGGAATGTAAAATTTTGCATCAATCAAAAATAAACAGATTAAATTTGAAATACTTATTTTCAAAATGATGTTCCGCTTTTGGCTCAAAACCGCTTCGTGGTGCATGCTGTCCAAAAAGAAATATTTTGAAAAAGGATTTCTTAGAAATAATATATTTTAGAAAATATATCTTTGGTTTTATGCGTTAGAAAAAAGAAAATTACTGTATGAAACGAAAACTAACTAAAGTACCAACTAAAACCTACCTAAATCCAACTCTCGAGAACTTCAGTGTTATTTCAAAGCAGTGTTTTTTTTTTTTTTTTTAATCTGTTTTGCTCCAAGCACAACTTTCATTATTTATAGAAGATCATCCCTCCGTTCTAAAATTAGGAAAAAGTATAAATTTGTTTAGAATTAGATTATTCTTTAAACGGCACTTCAGGAAGCAGGTGGAGTCAGGGTGACTACATTCTACCCCTGGAACTATGAAATTCCGTCTTTGTTGAGAATCCCTACTTTAAAGCTTTGATGAGAGATATTGCCTGTAGCTATCTGTGATAATACAAATACAGAAGCAAGTAAGAACTTAAACTAAAAAGGTAAAAACTGAGAACGATATAGTGTCCAAACTTTGTAAAAGTATGTGAAATGAATGTTTTTAATTCTTTATACTTCCTTCCCATCTCAATCACGCATTCTTCCATGAAATACATGGGCACGACAACAACAATAACATTTAAAGCACAGACAAAAGAAGAGGCAAAACCTAGACCAGCCCAAACCTGGTGATGAAATTTAATTCATCACTTTAAGTTAAAGCTCTGTCGTACAGAGATGATAGGAGTTTGTAGCGGAAGGGCATAAAATAGAGTATGTTAGATAGTAATAGGGTCTTCTGTGTGCCACATTATATGCTGAGCACTGCATCATACGAGAACACGGGAGGAATGGGCGTTGATGAGCTACGAAAAACAAAAAAAGAGACGGCTCTTATAAAATTATAATACCAAATTCCTAATAAGTATTTTACTTTCTGTAAAAAAATAATAATTGTAAATGAACGAAAAAAAATAATAAAAGTATCTTTAAAGAAAGGGTATTAATAATAACAAAATAACACAGAAATACATGAACTAACTTGTAACTTTAATTATGCAACAGAATTAATGCCGAAATATGCCACATATAATATCCATTCATCTTTCACATCAGTTTATATTCTTCTAAGATATTGTTTCTCAAATTACAGTGTATGTATCACTAATGGTACATTGCATAATTTTTGAAAGCAAAATATTAACACAAAAATTTTAAGGCATGTGAAATGTTGCCCTTTTGGTACATAGACTGATAAAATATGATGGTATATAGGTTTTTAACTGTAATTTATGTTCTACGAGATTTTAAAGCCGAAAGATAATTTTTCAAAAAACGTTTTACATAATGTTTAGGAATAAATTATTTTAAAAATTTCGTTTCAAGAAGATTACCATTACATCTTAAATATTTATTATAAACAGTATGTTACTGAAGACAGACGGTAATAGAATCCGTTTATATTTTAAGTTAACCATAACGCTTCTGACTGAATTTAAACGAAACTAGACCAAACCCCAATTCTTTGGTAGAAAAGTTTTAACATTGAAAATATGATCATGAGAATCAAACCGTGTGTTTTCCTTGTGATTTCCTTAGGATAAATAAAGAAACAAAGGGTGAAAGAAGACAACCAGCTTGCAAATTAGAGACACATTTAGACAGGACTAACGGGGGACTTCTAAGGCTCACTCTAGGAATGTCTTCCATCCACTTAAAGATTGACTTGGGAAAGAGACTACTAATGCATCTTGGTGACTCATTATCGTCCTCCTTCTTTAGTCTGAGCGCCAGATAAGAAACTACACTCATGTCCATAAATTAAGGATAATGCAAAATCAGGCAAAGGAAGACATGGAAGCAAAACAAATTGGACTTATTTGTAAAGCTTATTTATTAAACAAAAGGTAAAGAGCAAAAAAAGATGCTATATGTTTGATATTATTAAAAATTAGCGATTTTTTCTCCATGGAGCAAATTACAAAAAAAAAAAAAAAAAAAAA